CCTTTCCTTGTTTCCTACCATCTCTTTTTACCTCCCTCCTTCCCCTCACATTTCCTTTCTCTTGTGTCCTTCCTGCTCTCTTCTCCTCCCTCCCAGCTCTCACCTGTCACACACCTGTACATTTGTTGTGTGGCAAAATCCTCTCAACTCAAAGATCCACTTGCTGACTTTTTTCTGACCTTTCACCCACATTGACTGTGAGATGGGGTCAACAGATTGCTGCCAAATATCAGATAGAAGCATATTCGGCCGGAGTGAGGGAAGAGACGAGGAGAAACTATAGGAGGTCAGTTTCTCAGGTCTTTGTGGACTTTTTCAAGCTATTCTTGTTCTCAAGTACTTGTCCCTAGTCAGATTTCTGGGCATTAGGCCAAGGTCGTCTTGAACACCCAATTTACTTAGAATCCAACTTCATTTTTGTCTGTACGCAATCAATTGCCATTTTTTGTCATTTGCACACAGGAAGCCAATGGCAGAATAACAGCCTCGGGGCAGGGGGTTTTACAAGTTTTTTTCATGTTCTCAAAGGGTCTGAATTGCAAAGCAGTGAAGTCTTTTTTGGAATTCAGCCACTTAAGTCCTCTACTGCTATCCCAATTCAGCAATTTGGCCGTTTGCCCAGGTAGAGACACTCCATGGTAGGTTTTTATGACTGAACTATATGGACGAGGACACACACTTTTATTTCTTTCATTTTCAACTCCACCAGATAGTGAAGCAGGGAAGATACTAAAACCTGAAACCGTGACATGTGGACTGTTTAGGGTTGGGTTTGGCTGGTTTCTGCCGGTGGGTTATAGTGGTAAACTGGCAAGAGGGTTCATTTAAGAATATATTTTCTTCAGAAACATAGGTCATTACTCCCCCTTGGATATAAATTAATTTTGTTGCTTCCAGATTGGGTTTTGTTTGAGAATGGGCCCAAAACGTTGCCCTGGGATCAAGAGTTTAAAGGGTTGAAGGGGTTTGTGGATTGTTTTTCCCCCTGACATTTCACTCCCTTTCTTCAGAAATGAATAAATGCATATGACTAAATTACAGAGCGATTAGTGTAAGTTTATGGGATTAAATTAAATGTTATTGTATATACAGTACAGGTGAGAACAGCAGGTGGGTGCCGGCCAGAAGAGTGCTGTTTTCCTGGGATGGGGCCAACTGAAAACCCAAAAAGCTGGGGGTGGGAGCGGTGTGGATGGCAAGTGACGGGACGATCAAGGAGCCGGCTATGCATTTTGTTATTTTCTTTCCCATTAAACGATTATTGAAAGTTATTAACATCGATGATTAAAAATGGATAGTACCCCACATGTAAAAATTTTATCAGATAGAAGCATATGCAAT